CTTCTTTGACATATTGTTTTCCTTTATTTCAGATATTTACCCAGGGGTGGGATTTCTGGATCACATGTAGCTCTATTTCTAGTTTTTGGAGAAGCTCCGTAACTGTTTTCCATACAACTGCATTAGTTTACATTCCCAACATTGCATGTAAATTCCCCATTTCTCCATAGCCTCACTAGCATTTGTCATTTTTGTGTTTTGGTCAGTAAATATTCTATCTGGGGTGAGATGATGTCTCATTGTTAGAAATCCTATTCCTGTCCTTCAGTGATGACAAGGGTGTTTCACAGCGAGTTTTTCTAACCAACTATAATCTTGTATTCCATCCTCAGTCTATATAGGATCAATTTCTCATAGCAACTTCACACACTTCCCCAGAACACAGCATTGTGAAGTAAACGGCAGTCATAACGAGTGCATTCTTGCCTAGCATATTAAGTGATGACTTACAGATGGGGAGACGTGGCTGTGATTTGTGTGCATTCACAAATTATCTCCATGGAGAAAATGCACAGGGGTAGCATTTCACTTTTATATGTTTCATCAAACAGAAGTAAAAGTATGGATGTTGTTAGGGAAAACATTCTCTATCATCAGGAGGTGGTTTCTGCAGAAGTTGGAGGCTGGTATGTGCCGTGAAGAGAATACTTAATTGATCCTGTGTCAGAAAATTCTTCCAGATAATCAGACATGTTTGCCTCAAACAAATGGTCCAAGGTAGCTTCTTGTAAGTTTATTTGTCATAGAATTAATGGAACTTGGACTGGGGATATAGCTCAGGGGCACCACACCTGCCTGGCAAGTGCAAGGTCCTGGGCTCAATTTGCAGTACAAAAAAAAAAAAAAAGAAAGAAATTTGCTTCTCAAATATATGCCCCTATGTACCAAATTAATATTTGTCGTATGGGAGGCATTTGGAATTAAATAAAGAAATGGAAGTACGTACTGGGAATTGGTGGTCAGTGGTTTGTGGAATCTGTACTGCCTCACTTGGGTTCCCTCAGTGCCTGAAACCCTTCCACTATAAAATTGAGTACTTTAAATTAAGACTTTGTATTATTGGCCTTAAATAATACAAACTGAATTCTCATCACTTTTTAAATGGTTTTAAATAATGATCTTTTAAAGAGATTTATTTATCAGTGATATTTTCATCTTAAAAACCACTTGTGAGAGATTGAAAGCCCATGACAAACACCAGATTTTGACAGGGGATAGGTGTGTTAGTTACTTTTTCACCGCAGCGACACAATACTGAACACCCACATGTTAAAGGAGGAGAAATTTATTTTAGCTCAGTTATAGTCCATAGTCAGCTGGCTCCAAGCCAGGACAGGCATGGTGGAAGGGTCTGGTGGAGGGCTGCTCACATCATGGGTGCTAGGAAGCAGAGAGAGAAGGGAGGACCAGGGGAGGGAGATGCCTTCTTCCAGGTAATGTCTCCAGCAATCACCTCTTCTGACGAAGACCCTATTTCCTAATGTCATATTTAGCCCTAACACCTCCATTATCCAATCACCTTCCACAGGACCACACTTGAGAGATTTGGGGGTCATTCCTGATCAGTTTTACAATATGTAAAATGGCAAAGCTAAAATACTGACCTAAAAAAGCAGAGCTCAGGGACTGCAGGTAAAGCACAGGTAAAAGTGCTTAGTGTCTTAAAAAGAGGGATGCTGAAAACCAAGATTAGAGAGATAACCTTGAGACCTGACCCATGTCACAGGTTTCCTTAGGTTCGGTAGGATGACAATTTTGAGAAGTTATTTTGACCTCTGGATCTTAATTTATTTTCCTTTGTGATTCTTGGATAAGTGCTTTGATTTTTGGTAATAAAGCTTTCCTTCAGTTGTATAGCAAAACAGTTTGATGTGACATCTAATCAGACATAAATGTCTGACATATACAGCATCGATGTCAAAGTAAACTGTTGAGAATGTGGAGAGAATACTTAAAAATGAGGGCTGCCCCTGGACTGCCCACAGTACTGAGAGCTTTTTCTGGGCGTCAATAGGACATCAGAAGTCAGTGAGTTTTTAGCTTTCACTACAGTTGCTTATTTGCCTTGATTTAAAGGCCCCAATGTCAGTTCTTTATGAAGCATTTAGATTTCCTATGAGTCTCTTAGGACACACAGATTTCTTTGCTCACTGTATACCTTGTAGCCATAATGGAAGCTCTTCTGTTGCTTTAACTCCTTCCTAAGGGTACAGGTTTAGTCACATTTTCTTTCCCTCTTGAAGCATTAGTTGTTGCCAGTTTTGAAAACATTCTTCTTTGGTGTGTACATTTTTGCTTTTGGTGCAAAACCATGTCACTGGTTCTCATTCATCATCTATGTGAAAGAACTGTGCACCTGTTTAAATGACTGTTGAGGAGGTACCGTGCCCTTTCTAACCACTGTAGAATAATAAAGAATATTTTTGCCTACCAGGCAGGAAGTCAGCTTCTAAGAGTTTCATGCATTTCACTAATTTGCAACACTTTTCTACAGATAGAGGACTTAAATTTAGTTTCATTTGCTATTACCTGTGATTCGCTTGGTCACTGAAGTGCATAACAGCAAATCCCCTCACTAAGGATTTACCCATAGTTTATAGCATATCATTAAAATAAATGCTAATTATCTGGTGACAAGGACCTCACTAAAGTTGAAGTGTAGGATAAGTCTTCAAATGAACTAGAATGCTCTAGAAAATATTCTTTTATTTGAATTTAAGTGAATTTTGCCTTATTTAGTACTGGTAACTATTTCAGAGTCTAGACAGTCAAATGGATACTTTATGTATTAGTCTAGTCTGAGTGCTGTAACAAAATGCATAAAATGGGATGGTGTGCAAGCAAAAGAAACTTACTGCTAACAGAACAGAGGGTGAGAAGGTCAGGGCACAATCCATTTTGGTGTATGGGAGAGGCCCACTTTCTTGACAAGGACATCTTCCTTCTGTCCTCATATGACATAAGGGGCAAGCTCACTTACTGACACCACTTTCAGGAAGGCACTAATGACTGTCCTGAGGTCAGCTCCACCTCCCAGAGCCTTGGCCTCTGGGATTAGGATTTTAACATGAATTGTGAGGAACACAAACCTTTAGACCACAGCATTCTGTCGGTAAACTTCATAATCTTTACACATACACACTATTTACAATCAAAGAGGAAGGGCTCCATAGTTATCATCTGGCAAGGGCTCCTCACACTAAGGAAGATTTTGAGGTGGCAGTGGTGCAAGAAAATTGCAAACCAAACCAAAAGGAATATTCTTCACACTATGAATCTTTATGCCAGCAAACTGTTGGATCTTCAGGTCAGCAGACTGTTGCGGGCTAATTCCACGAAGGCAATAGTGCTGAATTTAGGAACAGTTTAGTTTATATAGCATTGAAAAGTGGGAGATCCAAAGCAAGTGACAAAAATGTTACATAATTGGTTACATGCACTGAGTCATGTACTGACACGCAGGCTCTCTTCAACAGATTTGTTGAAACAAGGCAATTGTTTATCTAACATGGAAACACTCTGAAGAACAAGAGCAGTGGCCCTTAATTCTGATTAGCCTGGGGTGCTTTAAGGTATAGACAGTTACTCTGACTCGGTGCTCATCAGAGATGCAGTTGGTCTTTAGACACTGTCATGGTCGATTGAATTCAGCAGAACAGAAACTTGGTCAGAAACCTCTAATTGATCATGGAATACCTGTAAGTTTGTTATTTTAATAAATGTGTTCCTACATTATACTTGTGCCCCAACAAAAGTAAACCCCTTCCCAGTGTTTCCTGAGCCCCCACATTGAGACTATGCCTATCTCAGGCAACCCTCCAAGAAGATGCATTAAATAAGACAACTGCAACTCCCCCAATGCTGAATTCTAGAAATTTGACTGGACTTCAGGTCCAATTTCAGTATGCTGTGTGCTTCCTTATCCAACTACTCACTTATATTCTCCACACAATGGGGACACAAAATGGAGACAAATTCTCCATGACGAGAGTGTCCATTTATATTTTAATATTTAGAATTGTGTGATCTATCTCAGTCATCTGCTTTACAAGCCTGTTTCATTACATGGAAGTGAAATGCCCTGAAATTTATTATTATTTTACTGATCATAAATCAGAAAACAGATTCAGTATACATTACTTGAGGTCTGACATTTCACGCCCCTTAGCCATGTGTTTCAGGAAATGTATTTTCTTGTTCATTTACTGCTGCATTTTGAATCATTCTTCTACCCCATATGGCTGTTGATGTCTTTTTCCTTCAGCCCAGATGAACCCATTACTTCCTACAGGTGAGAGTGTCTATAAAATAATGGGGAACCTTGACCTGACCTACACAAAGCACTTGCTTAGTATCACAGTATAGAACTCAAAAGGACTAATAAAAAAAGTCCAATTTAGTTTTCTTTTTATTTAAACATGTCATTCTATTAAAATACAAAGAAAAACATAGTAACTCTCAATATTTTTATGCAGATTTTTTCTGTCTACTGTGATATTCTCAAAACCTATAAGATTCAAGCTTAGATTTATTCCTATTTGATTTATACTTTATTGTGTTATTTCACGTATTTCCAACTTCACAATGAAAATATAAATTAAATGTCACATGGTTTATCTAATCTAAGAGACCTAAAAGATAAGCAAATTAAAGAGCAAAATGAAAGAGAAATGGGAATAGTCTCTGTGGCGATGAAGAGATCTGAGAAAGGAGGAGAAGAGAGAGAGGTGGAAAACCCATCAAGATGTGATATATATATATATATAGTATAATCGTATTACCATATGTTAACTTTTTTTAAAAATGTAAGTATATGACCTTGGTTTGATTATAGATATATCTATACTAAAGGTAACTTTTAATGATTTTAGATTTCACATGTTAGACAACAGTTATTAAAACTTTTTGGGATGTCACAGCAATACCCATGAGTCCTCATCCTTCTGCCAGGGGCCTCTCCAAAATAACATGGGTCGGTCGTTCTGTGTGTGTTCCCTCAGGAGATCGAGTTGTGTCGTGTTAGCAGTCAAGAGAAGCTGGGCCTCACAGTCTGCTACCGGACGGATGACGAAGACGATGCAGGCATTTATGTCAGCGAAGTAAGAAATGCTGCAGAAGGGAGATCAGGGAGGGAGGAGGAGGGGAATGAAGGCGTGAAAGGGCCACAGTGAGGAAACTTCCTCCAGAGGCCGGAGCCTGAGGAACTGGCCATGTTCCAAACTTGTCACTTTCAATTAGGAAATTATGCTGCCCGAGTAATGTAATTATCATCACCTTGTTTAGTGTGGATCCTTTGACAAGAGAACCAGCCAAGAAAAGTGAAAGTGGTAACATCGAATGCCCCTCCCTAGAGTGCAGGACACTGAGAGAAGTTTTGACCTGCAAACATTTGCCCTGCCATTCATTACAGCCTTTATTATGCTGCTAAGCACAGCATTGGGTAATTACTGTAAGTTAACAGTCACAGTAGTCACATCTTCTATGCTGGTGATGGGACACATTACACTTGAATATTCAAGAAGTACATCTATGAGTTTGTTTTACTTAACACTATAATCATTTTCAAGAGGTGAGGATCTAAGTGTGAGACTCTGTTAATTATTTTGAAAGCCTGTCAAACATTTTTATCATAGGTGGTTTTTTCAAACTCCCCTAAAAGATCATTGTAGAAGTAAAGTGTGATTTTCAAAGTTCTGTTACATATGATTAAAAATTACACTCATACACACACATAAGTGTATATATTTATACATATATCAAATCTAACTCCTGTAGACAGAGTTAGACAAGCTAAATACTAATTCCTGTTCCAAGTTTCTATGGCCTCGATATTAAACATTACCTGACATTCTAAGCTCAGCCTCCTTAACAACAAAATTAGTATAATGTTTATATAAATGTTTTTATAGAAGTGTTTAGAATATGGAAGAGATAGTATAGTTATTCAACTTAGAAAACTACACTGATGTACAAATGTAAAATGTTATTCTTTGTCACTATATCAAAGAATTTGCCAACTGGCTTTTACAAAGGTAAACTCTCCAAAGAAGAGATTTAGTTTTAAATGTACAACTATAATAATCCCTCTAAAGTAAAGAAGTGTGAGGAACTACCTACTGAATTGTCTTTTGTAATATGTACAAAAGTACAAAGGTAGAAGTTTAGTATCAGTTTGATTACAGGTTAGAAGACAAACTTTCAGGTTATAAATAGCTTTTAAATGGGACATGATTGACTAATCCCTCACTTCCTTCTGGTAAGTCTCTACTTACCCTTTAAGTGTTAGATATGAAATTTCACTACTCCAGGAAGATAAAGAAGCTCAGGAACTGAGCATATGCCCTTGGAATAAATATTGTCCTTATTTCTCTTATACACAATTATAATACCCTTTGTACTTCATTTACCACTTAAGACTCAGTTATTAGATAGTGCCTCTAATAAGAAAGTGATATCTGACATCAGGTTAGGGTGGATAAATTCATGCCACACTTGAAATACTTTGCTTGGGAAAAACCTTTTGTTCTATACACTTAAACAAATGGTTTGAAGCCACTGCATTTATCCTGATGGATTGAATTTCCTCCAGTTAGCAGCAGTCATCACTTAAGTCTGCGCCATTAAAATGTTGATAAGCTCTTTAAATATGTATTTATTCTAAAATAATTTATAGTAAATATACTTTGTCATATATATAAATTGGTGTGAAGTAATAAAATAGATATATAGTATTGTTTGTTTTTTGAGTAACACCAGATATAAACCTCTTTATAAATTAATATGAACATGAAACAGAAATTGCTTAAATATGTATGGACTTGTGGTGTAGCTATCAGCTTTCCTAATACTGCTAAGGCAGGATTTAAAAATCACATCCATAGTAGAAAGTAAATTCTCTGTGATCAGAGAATGCTAGGAGTAACATTAACATGTCTGAAAAACTGAGATTCAGATATAGGTAAATGAATGAGAAAATAAAGGAAGAAGGAAAAAATACATATACACCCCTTCTAAGAAAGGTGCAAGGAATGAGAAAAGGGTCTTCAAATCAAGTTTTTCTCTAGTCCTTCAGTGTATTAATTCCAAAATAGTGTATTTTATATTTTTAGAATTAGTGTTTTCTGACAGAAAAATGCATCATGCACTCTGTCATAAATCAATAGAAAATATTGTACTATGGTTTAAAATATATATTTTACAGCTATAAGTTTAATTTCTTGAGAATGTCTTGCATCTCCAGTTGACGGCACGTGTCCTCTCCATTACAGGTGGATCCAAACAGCATCGCAGCCAAAGATGGCCGAATTCGAGAAGGTGATCGAATTTTGCAAGTATGTATGTGCTTATTTTCTTACGTTTCTTACTGTCTGCCCCATAGTTACATTTGGATTGGTTTGCTTGGTTTGGTTCCTTATAAAATGTTAGAAAAAAAATTGTTTTTGCTTTTAGGTGTCAATATTTACCAAACCAAAAAAGCTGTCATTTAATGTTTAAGTAAGGATGGTACCTTTTCTTAACAGGTACTAGCTAGTAACTAGTGATTCAAATACAGTGTCTGGAGTGAGATTTCTTGACTTCAACTTCTAACTCCACCAGTGGCTTGGGTACATCACCTCACCCCCTTTTGTTTCAAGCCCATTTGTTAATCTTAAAACATGGCAATAATAATATAACCCATTCTTGTTGTGAGGGTTACATGAGGTTATGCATGTAATGTGCTTAGCACAGTGTGTGATAAGTGCTTAATAAACATTAATGATTATTATTCCTAGCAACAGCAGCAGCAATTGCTGCTTTCCAGAATAAATTAGGTGAACATGGATCCAGATGTTCCTTTTCTATATGAAAGCCCAGAAGTCTATAGAAGTTTCAACTATTTACTAATGAATTGCTGGGGCCAAGTGGAGCAAAATATGATTTGTTCTCCATATAGAAATATAAAAAGAGAGACTGATTAAAGTTTAGTTTAATGAGAGAAGCAATGAGCAAGGAAGATAGTTGGAAAGGCAGTTCTAGGCCTAATTAAGAAAAACTGACTCCCCAAACTTCTGTTCTAAACCTGCTTCACTGCATCCCATTCCTACCAATTCCTTGTGCCCAAAGTGCTGTAGGACTTGTTTTGAGATCAACCTCACAATAAGAGCAGAGGCCCTTCTGGGTTGAGTTCATTGCTGACCATCATCATGAAACAGAGAGTGGGACTAGAAGGGTAATTTGAGGAAATATAGACTGAAAAAATGTGGCAAAAATTCTAGGTCAGATTGAGTTCCCACTACTCCTTGCTAGACATGGAGCCTCAGAGATTATTTTAAGGACTTCAAAAATAGACAAAATGCCTCCCCACCCTTGGTGCATCCTTTTTCTGTGAAATTGGGAAAAGAGCAACATACGCCGAGGATCACAGTGTACTGTGTGACTGAGCCCTGTGAGGTGTCCCCTGCACTGCCAGGGCTGCATATCTCCCCAGCCATCTCTCCTCTCCCTTCTGCTGGCTGGCAATCACGGAATCCCACCACTGCCTGCCTCCCAGTCCTCTCCTTTACATGCCACAGAATGCTTTGACATCAGCAACCTCTACTAAGACTCTGATTAGGAAAGAATAAATATGAATTGTTGACCATTTGTGGTCCCACTATGACGCTAAAGAGTGTGTCATTTCTAATTCAATAAACTCTGCTGTAAGCAGTGCCTTGTAGTTAAACAAAATAGAATTGTATCTGGGGAATGTTAGGGGAATACAAAATGGATCAGACCAAGACATTGTCTTGTTTTTCACCACACTTTGGAATCTTTCATACATTCACATGAATAATTCAGTGAATGAAACAAAGCTATTCAGTGGAAAGGATGATAGGACAGATAAGGAAGAACTATGTAGCTTCATTAAGAAATTAAGAACACCTACCAGACAGCAAAAGTTTCAAAAATGTTTGGATTTTGAAATGATTTTAAAATATATTCTCACTTTGTTACCATCTTCAGTTCAACACACTACAATTAATGCCAGCTTCGGTGCTTAGGCTTGTGACGTGCCCAGAAATCATTACAGAGTACAATAGAGTAAAATGCTCAATGACCAAAAGGTCTAGAGGATTCTGTGACCTGACGTTAAGTGATCCTAGATGGCTACATTTTTGGATGTGTAGACTCCATGTGTTATAATCTGTCTTCCTGTTCTCTTACTGTTGCTGACTACTACAACTTCCTCTCACCAGTTAATCTCCGTATCCCTCATCTCCTTTGTACCTTCCGCTGACTTCCCTCCTGATTTCCCGCTAACCATTCATGTAGGCTGAGTAAAATCGCCTCTGTTGGTTTGGTGGTCACAGTTGACTAAACATAAAATGCATGTGTTTTCATACAGGATGCTGTATGCTTTGATAACTTCCAAACTCTTAGCTGTATTGTGGACAGATAAGTTTCTGAAGACAAAATATATATAAGATAATAGAATATTCCTTAATGGAGGTGGTTTCCTGAAGAAACAACAGTAGGATTGATAAAGTGATGTTTTCTGTCTGATTACTTCATATTCAGTGACAAATTTGTTACCCTTAATGAGTAAATACAGATCACATGAAAAAGCCTAGAATTCAATTCTGTCTGCACACATAGAAACCAAAGTATCCTAAAGGTGATGGTGAAGTTTTATTAAATAAACCTTTAATGAAATTGTACCAATAAACAAATAAGCTCCCAGATGATTGGAGAGGATATTATAGGATATCCACCAGTGAAGAATTAATGACTTCTTTTCCAGGAAGAAAGGAAAGTGGAAGAAACAAGATTTACCTCTTACCCTCCAGGTTCCCTGGCTGGCTTTTATTTAATTGTATCTCTGAACAGAAGTTGTGATTTTAGTTTTCAGCTCATGATGATCTCAGTAGAGTATGTTTATGTTCCTGCCTTGATTGCATAGCTAAACTTTTCTTCATGTAGCATGCCATGGCTTATTAGAGGGCCTCATCCAGTAACATCCCATGCACACACATTCACAGGAAACTGACATAGGGTAGGCCTATGCAGAAGGGAAGCCAAACATGAACCAATGCGTGAAAACACTTCTGCTGCTTGTGTGTTCACTCTGAAAATGCAGGGTGGCTCTCTCTGCTGTGCAGTTGTCCAGAACTTGTACTAAACTTGTCCCCAAGAAGTAACCTAAAGAAGCCTCTGACACACAATAACAGGAATGAGGAAGGCACTTTCTGAGGCACATAAACATCAATGTCCTCAAACAAAGAACATTGCATTCTCTTATGTTCTTTGGGATGGTTATCATGTAATATTACACATAAGCAACATAATCTCATAGTGGCCAAAAAGCACTAGTCATGTTCCTAAGAAGTACTTCTTGACAAAACTGCCAGAACTCAAACAATAGAATAATAAAACTTCTAATAAACTCTTTCTTTCTCCCCTACTTATGAACTAATCCTTACCATTCCTATTTTTTTAATTGTTTTCCTTTTCAATAGCTGATTCCCTCTATATTCTGTATCTCTATATTCCACATACCAAATTTCTCTCCATATTAAAATATAAATGCATTTGAAGTAAATCTCTTTTCTTAGATTCTTAGTTTTCCTAAGAAATTTCACAGGTAGTTTAATGCCAAAAATTTTAATTGCCCATCTGCCTTTTGTGCAATAATATAGGAAACCTAAAAATTCTCATGTTCAACCAGAAAAGCTTTATTAAACAATGCTAAGGCTTTTAGCCCCCCTTCATCTCTCTTTCCCATTCTCTTCCCATAGATCTCTTCTAAGACAAAAACATCTATTTTGAAACTATTTGCATATGATTGTGTACAGAAATGAGAGAAGTATATTATCTACAATGATTTCCTCCATTTATAACAAAAATAACATATTGGTCTATTGTCTTTCTCTTGGCTTGCTTCCTCTTTCTTTTCCTAAAATAGAATCCCTTCAGTAAGTTGCAGTGACTTGTCATCTGTCTCCTTCCCTTGTTGCTGTCTTCTTCCCCTCTGTCTGCTGGTGTTTTCAAGAACAACAAGCTGCTTTCCCAAAGCAGTCAGTAACCATAAACCATTGTTCCAGGAGCAAGGGCAACTGAAGGTTGAAAGCTTTATCTTACTCCATTCCTCACATCTACCCTTTCTTCTAGAGGCATCTTTGTTAAAACACATTAGTTGCATTTCTTGCCTCCATATGAGTTTGGATATCAAACTAAAGTCCTAAATACAATGGATTCTACAGATCGTTTTGCTAATATTGCCCTTATTTTGAAAAAGAAAATAGTAAATTGCATTTCAATGCCAGGTTTCTGTGGCAAACTCATTTTGTCTCATGTATTATCCTAAATATAAAAAAAGGTCTTTGCAACAAATCTTGATCCCCTAAAACAAGGACTGATTGGCAGAATTGAAGACTGTACCTCTGATCACTCTCAGCTGACAGATGAGAAAGGTGACTAGCAACTAGACAGGGACTGCAAAGCAAACATAACCATATCATTTCATGATGACCTTCTAAGAGTTTAAAATACAAATGGTAAATAGCTTCCTAAACAGATCCACTAATTACTGTAATGGATTTAATTATTGCTTATTAATTGTATTACATGTGCTGTCCTGCCTTTATTGAAGATTAAAATGTAATGGTAATAGTTGTAATACAGTAATGTTGATAATAATTTGTGCCAACTTTGAGAACTTTATGTGTCAGGTACTTACTGAGCCCTTTCTAACAACCCTTAAAGAAGGCACACTTTATTTTGAGATAGTGAATATAACAGCAGCCTTACAGTAACATAAAGGAGTATTTAGACTAATAGCAAGGGAAATTCAAATGAAGAAGGGGAAAACATATAATTGAAGGGAGAATAGAGGGTGAAATAATGAGATTTCTGTTTCAACAGAAAAGATGAAAATAAGCTATGTGAGATCATCCAACTCAACTCTCTTAGTATCAAATATAACCAAATTGTTTAGGTCTATGTTTGACAAACAGGTCCATTGTAGATATAGTACTAGAACTACTATAAATTGGACATAAGCTCTCCTTGTCCAAAGAGAATAAAAATTATGCCATTACTGCAAAATAACTTTTAATAATAGGCACAAGAAATATACTAGAATCAATCACAGCCAAAATTTATTACAGAAAAAGTCTTTTGAGTCAGTATACATATCTTTTAAGACACATTTATGAAAACAATGTATCTTTCTCCCTCATTATTCCTTATTTTAGAACTCTGTATCTATTTGGAAGTTTAGTAAATTTTATTTGTAAATTGCAAAAAAAAAACCCAGAATGCATATAAAACTTGTAGTGGTTGGGTGTAGGAAAAAGGCCTTTACTGGGAACCAACATTGAGAATTGGCCAATGTCAGAGACCACAGGGATTTAACAGTCTACTTTATGCCTTTATACAGTAATCTGCAGCAAAAGATCTTAGCTAATTACTGAAAAAATAATGGTCAATGTGGTCATGTTTTCCATTTAACAGTGAAGTAATTAATGCTTTTTTTAGGCATAATTTCTTCTAGTTGAAATTTCTTTCCACATATTTTGCTTTTATGTTGGAGATTAAAATGCTTATTATCTCTGTGAATTTGAGCAATCAACATTTTCATTTTTAAGTATCCAAATGAAAAAATCATGTTAACTAGGAGCTAAAAACCCTTTGAACATGAAAATATAGTTTCAAATACAAACTTCAGTAACTTTATTTCTTGTCTTTAGAACTCTGAAATAGCAAAAACATATATTTCACTTCCCACTGGAATCTTTTTATTTACTTTTATTTGTATATAGTGGCAATCCATACTAATTAAATTCATTGTAGGGAGCTGATATATGTCAATAATACATTCCAATGCCTTTTTCCCTTTCCCTCAAAAAACCCCCTTTTATATTCTCAGCATCAGATTCATTTATTTTTAAGAGCTTATAAAACTATGACATGTACAGATTAAAACCAGACTAATAGACCAAAGAATATATATTTTCTGTGCAATCATGAGTTTTGCAAAGGCTATCTTCTTTTACTTTTTGCAAAAAAAAAAAAAAATGTCTATTTTACTTAATGTTCTTAAACTTTATTTATTTATTTATTTGTATCAGGGATCAAACTCACAACCTTGTGTTTGCCAGGCAAGCACTTGTGCCACTGAGCTACATCCCTAAGCCCAATGTTTTTAAACTTTTAAATATACTTATAGCGTTGCGCTGATTTCATTGTTTTAGGAAGTGGATGAATCTTATGATGAGATGTTCTTGATAGCCGTTCTTTTGATCAGTTAAACACAGTACTGTTTGGGCAGCTAAGTCAGATTCACAAATATGAAATGATTGAATAAAAATGTAATCAGCAGAGGTCTGGGAGCACTGCCTGGTGAGAGATAGCACTGCCGCTGTCTAATTGGCTCGCAGCAGGCATGCAGGATGACGGATTTCAGTCGCGGTATTGCTGGTCCTCCTCCTCCCAGCACTATTATCTCAGAGTGACACTTCCATTACTCTGAGCGGAGAAAGATGAACGTCAGCTGTCAGCAGCTGGTTAATTGTGTTGCTAGATGTATGTTGCCAGGGCGCAGGTTGGACATTTATGAACATAACTGCTTCCTCTGATGTCCGCCATCCTTCAGGGATCGATATGGCTCTTACAGTAAGCGCCTAATTGAGTGGAGGCGCTTTCCACAGAGGGGCCGAAGATGGGCTCATTGTGTGAGCTTCATTGTCCATACATTTACCATAAATGAGCCGATATTTGCCATTTATTGTGTGCAGCATTGTGGAAATGGAAACTAATGTGCCAGTTTCATTTGTTTTCTAGATAAATGGGGAAGACGTCCAGAATCGAGAAGAGGCAGTGGCGTTGCTGGCGAGCGACGAGTGTAAGAGAATCGTGCTGCTTGTTGCAAGACCAGAGATTCAGGTCAGAACAGAGATCAAAACTCCTGAGGCTCAATTCCCTAGCCATGCAATTTGTGAATGAAGTTATATTCATCATCGGCTATTCTATATCAAATCACTGTCATAGATATTTGCAAAACCAAGTACGGTATACAAAACACAACACACATCATTCCTAAATTGCCAACCTTAGCGTCCAAGGCACCACATATATTTAAAATCTCTCTTATGCCCCACAGAATGGTGACTAAATATCCCATTGAGGGAAATTTTTACTGTATGCAAAATTGAATCATTATTCTCTCCTTCCACTTGCCAGTTATTTAAATAAATTCACAAATGAAAAATGGTTTACTTTACATGATTCTTAATTCTATGTGTATCCTTGCTCTAGGTTTCTATCTAAAGAATACTTAATTGGCATGTTAAGGTACCCTGAAAGAATTTGTATTGAGAAAAACATTAGCATACACAACTATCATCTTAAATCTTTTTTAGAATAACTTTATCAACCAAAGGTTCTTATATAGCATGGTGTAGCTCCGTATAGAATAAATGAGATTTTTTTTTCCAAATTGAGTATGACAATCATTTGTCCAACCAAAAAAGCTGATGCTTCTAAAGGAGTTTTTTTAGATCTTTACAGAGGAAGTTGTCATGAAAGTAAAGGAAAGGTAATGGTGGAGGAAGAGTACTGTTGGTACTTCCTTTTATATCCTTTTTATATCCCACCACAATGCAGAGAGGACAATACACTGTCACATTCTATCCATCTGTCAGTAGTTTGAGTGAAGTTAGTTATCTTGCCGTTTGTCTCCTAGGTTATTGATCTGATATTTTTCAGACTCAGTAACTACACACTATCTATAAATTACATTGAGTAAGTGTCTTTCAGTGTCAGACTGAATCCTGACTTGAATATAGTGGTTATAAAAGATCACCCTTTCCGCATATATTTCCTTTATGCCCTTGACCATTCCAAATGGTTCTCATAAAGCCTGCCATAGCCTGGAGCAGAGTAAAGTTACACACCTGAGGTCTTAGGAAAAAAGAAATGAGCCTATACAATGTGCTAGATTGTCCAGGTGGAAATTAATTTTTGAAATATATATGAAATTATACCAATTACCTAAAAATTTCTCAAACCAGTCATCTCACTGATTAAACTTTTTCGAAGAACAGAAAAATGAAATAAATACAATTAGTGAAATTTGTGATAATTTGAAATCAACTCAATAGCCATCCATGTTAGAAAAATATCTCTATATTATAGTACAGTTTCCTGCCCTGTCCATATAACTGGTAGAGAAACTCATTAGTCTAGAACTAAAACATTTCCTTAAAACATATCATATAATGGGCTGCGGAAAGAATAGAAATTAACGACATAAGACCAAATACTGTTAATCTTTGATGGAAAACATATGCCTGGAGAACCAACAGCATTTTTTAATATGTGGCTATGCTCCTGACTTTTTTTCCCCAAAAGAGTCAATATTGGGGGTGCAATACCAAATGAGACTTGCCTTCCACAGTTGATAAAAAGATGGTTGTTTGGCTCCACGGGCTGCCATCCTGCCTGTCATAATCAAGGTCTGCTTTAGCCCCTTGATCCTGAGGAAGCCTTTGTGACACTGGAAGGAAGCTAATTGTTGACTGAAACTCAGATTCTCAGAGAAATCAGCAAAGAAAACACATCTTGACATGATACATTAAAACTGTAATGTAAGCAGTATATGCTAGAAAGCTGTCCCCCACAAAAACATTATCTTAAAAATTGAAGTTACATCACCCATTTCTTCCTATCAAATTCAATATAGCTCACTGTATTTTTTTATATGTATAGTTTTTTCAGAGAAAATGTAGACACTTTTTGTGTGCTTTTCCTAGCATGTTTTTAAAATGCCTAGAATACTTTAGATTCTTGGAAATGATCTACAGACTAGCTGGGGGCAGTTACTGTGCATCTGCACAATATTTTTAAATAACTCGTTTCCTTCATTCCCTGTCACCTTTCTTTCATTTCCTGCCCATTTTCTTCCTCAGACCATTAAATATATTGCTTTTCTGTCCTAGTCCCTCCAGGACATCAGGTACAGAAGGCCCTCATGGGGACTTGTAACCTCTACTTTGGAGATAGTGTACATTGTTCTTTCTCTGCGATGTCCCATGTGGCCCACTTTGGCGGAGACAGATCCCTACCATAATATGAGGATGGTTCTTTTCCTACAGTGCATCTCAAGGGGGATACCTGTCTCCACAGAAGGATTAAATTCAGACTCCAGCGAATGAGTGTTTAGGTGGGAAGAGATAACAAGAAGAATCTGCCCCTTATTTATTGTTCTGAGTGGACCCCTATCTAACAGGGAAACTCACCAAAACACCCATGTACTGACTACAGAGGACACCTCAGGGATATGTGGGGTTAGTCAATAAGAAAGAGTTATAGGGGATCATTAATTTCTACTTGACTCTCTTTATGTGTCCCACCACTTCATTTAACCTCTGAAGATTCTGGTTCTGTCATTCGCTCTATCAGTATTTGGGAGTGTTTTATTTTGACCTGATTAAAGAAAGAATCCTTGCTATGTTTATAGAAAGCGAATATTCTTAGTTTTAAAAATTTTCTCATGGAATCTAATATTTACAACTTCAGGATGCTTCAAAGGAATTAAAGATTATAAAATTTGGGCATTTATAAATTGGATTGAATTTCCATTTTTAGTCAGGATAGTTACCATAGCCCTTCTGCATATTAAAGTCTGGGGGATGGAATTTGGTCAGGTTTTTCAGGCTGCATTAAGATAAATGAAGATGAATAAATGCACTCATATGTCTGGTCCCAGTTAAATCTGAGGTAATTTAAATTCTACATGGACTTAATAGATATCGTGAAATCTATGATTTGCCTTCATAAAAATGAATGTGATACATGTATTTCTTCACATTAATGTGATACATGTATCTGTTCATATTAATGAATGTGATACACGTGGCTAGTGTCTGGCTGTAGCTTAATGTCTGTCTCTCATGTTCGTTTTACTTTAAAGATTAAGAAATTTAGTTATCTTTCAAAGCTCATTTTCCAGTTTTTTTCATGAAACACCTATCCATTTTTTCTCAATACTAGGAAGCAGTTTTTTTTTTTTGAAACACAGACAAAAGCAGAGTTTTGATAATCCAGTGCATTTAATAAGCCTAGACAGCTAATTTATGTAATCCAACTCTAAAAATCCACTTTGCAACATATTATCTGGATTGACTGTCAACACCAATCATATTAGCAAAGTAACAACAAGGTCTTCACTTCACTTTGTATGGAGGAGCCAAAGGGATTTGTTCAGTTTAATTTGTGTAAGATTCCCATAAGAATGCTTGCTCCAAACCCCACAAACAAACCCTGCTTTGACTGCACTTCTCTACCACCCTTAAGTGCTACAAGGGCTAAGGTTTTTTTCCTTGTAAATTTGCCTGAAAAATAAATCAAAAAAGACATGATGGGAACTGGAGGTGTAGGTCAGTGATGGGTCATGTGCTTAGCATATCCGTGGCTCTGGGCTCAATCCCCAGCACCTTAAAAAACAGACACACATACAATGTCGCATTGCCTATCATCCACCCTTGGGAAGAATACTTAAGAATTTTCCTTTTTTTCATAGATCCATAAATGTTGCCTATTGAGTTTTTCATGGTAACATGGATGCCTACCTGCCTAAAACTTTAAAAAACAGAATGAGGGTGACTTCAGCTTGTGGAGGACGCTTTGCATGTAGTCTCATCGGGCATTGTTGTTTAAAAAAAAAACAAAAAAGCTCCACAGTCTCATAGCTTTATTAATAGCACTGAAGTTCTTTTAACACCGGGACCATTGGGGGTAATGAGCATGACAGCCGTGGATTATGCAGTGCGTTTTTCATTCATTTTGAAAGGAGGTAATGTTCTATGCTGCAAGATTTACTCAGCTCTGAGAGAAAATCTGTAGCTCTGTTTCAGGAAAGGATAAAAGGCCTAAGAGTCTTTTTTTGCATCACTTTTCCTTCTGTGAGATGAACTGTAGAAGGCTGATCTCATGAAGAGAATCAGTATGATGAAAGGAACTGGTCAGGCATCGCTATTTAAGTTTACCCTATTTTAGCATGAGCCCTCGCTAACATAATATAATGTACTGATGTATTCTTTGGCAGCTGGATGAAGGCTGGCTGGAAGATGAAAGGAATGAATTCTTAGAGGAGTTAAACTTGGAAATGTTGGAAAAGCAGCATAATGAAGCAACGCGGCGCACTGCTGATGAGGTGGAGCAGGTGGGCCCAACAATTTGAACTGTAGCATGTGAAATATTACTTGTTCTTTTTTCATGCAAAGCCATAAATAGATAAAAAATACAATCAAAGGGTTGGATCAAACATCCCTATAATGATAATCTTTTAAAGCAATTGATCATCTCAAATGAAGCAGAGGGAATAATTTTTTTCTGCTAAGAAATATTTACAGTTTTGGATACTTGAGGAACCTGAATATAGTACAGTGATATTCAAATGATGAAGCAGGTAGAGTTTCAACCTCATTGCAAAAAAAAAAAAAGTTTTTAGCTTTAAATATTTTAGGTACAGTTACCTTTTAAAATTAAACTTAACTTTAAAAAGATAAATGGACCTATTTGACTAGTCAGTCTGTAACCATAGAATAATGATGAAACAATTTTTTAATGTCTAATTAATGTCATTCATCTGCTTATTGTAATTTGTTAACACTTTACTGTCAATTTCCTGATTTGTTCAATGTTTATCTCATTGTCAACATTAATTCTTAATATATCTTGAGATGATTATTGTAAAGTCCCTACAAGTTTAGCCACATTCATAATAAACATTTTATCATCTATACAAGCTAAATAATGAAAAATGTTTACCTGCTAACATCTGTGACAAAGATGTGTACACAGATACCCATATATAAAATAAACCATTATCTTATAAACATCAGTATCCACATAGCCACACGTGATACATTTATGTTCTGATCATGGAGGTTCACTATCGACTTCCCAAACAGTAACTCACACTCAAAAATGTTGTTGCTTCAGGAGTGACTGCTGTTCAACAGAGGTAGGATAGACTGGGAATTTTATGTATGACTTCAATTCCATCCTCAAATAAAGATATTTTTTGGTGGCAGCTACTGGTTATAAGCAAGAAAGTCCTTGCTCCAGGCTTTTTCTTTCTTAGATACAAAATGTGACTTAATATAGAATTGACAGGAGGATGTTGGAATAAAGAAAGGAGAGATCCTGTCCAAGTGAAGTGATACAATGTCAAACGCTGCCTGCTCATCAGACGTAATACAAATGTTAGGTCTTCTGAGGTAACATTAGATGTCCCTGCGGATAGATTCTCACTGAGTGGAAATTTTTCTTCACCGTGAGACAGAAAAATGATGAGAAGTACAGAAGCATTTAAAAGTCTTTTGCCCTGATAAACAATAATATACATTAGAAATGTTTTTGGTAGAAACATTACCTGTCACTATATTAATTCCTGAGGAAATGATAAATGGTAGAGTAGCATTACCTTAGAAACCAGTAATGCTGGGTTTGAGGAAAGAAAACACGTTACTTTCATAGTTGATCACAGGACTATAACAAAAGGGGAAATTTAGTTTAATATTTAAATAGATCTCCCTACACATGTCCACCTTGCACAGTGTCCTTGGTTGTAACTACTGTTGAACCATCATATGTCATCTTCCATAGCATAATTTGTCAGTGTCATTTTAAGACATATGTAAAGTATGAGAAAAATACTGGTCTTACTTTAAGTTTTGGTTCATTACAAGACATAAGAAAAATATCACTGTGAATAGCACGGTATACAAACTCAAGTGGGCCATTATGTAGACCTTACTGCATCTGATACTATTGTCAGCTTAGATTCAGAGAGATGCGTGACAGGCTTTTCATTGTTAGCTATGGTTACTTGTAATTTTGCTATCAGTAAGTCATTTAAAATCAATCAGTGGGTTTTTAACACAAGAGTGAAAGTATTCTAGGCAAAGGATGAGGCTCCTACAATGACATGATATGTGGTCATAGTCTCTCCTCTCCAAATTATGTCACATTTTGTTCTGTTATTATGTGGGAAAATAGAAATTATCTAGAGAGAGCCTTTTAGACTTGTTTTAGAATACCTTTTATTACCTATCCCATCCTTCTTTAGCACTAATAGGCTTAATTATATTTAATTATGTAGTTACAGCTGCTAGAGGAAAGAAATATAAATATATCTAGCAGTGAGCATGCTTAGACATACGGCAAATACAATCTAGAAACTGCCATGTAGATTATTGCATGATGTGTGATACAGGAGGAGGTAATTTTAACCTATTTACATAGAAATAACTGCATATGGATCTCATTAGGGTTGTGACAAATTGTCCTGTATGAATGCCAAAATTAATATATATGTATATGTAAAGATTCTTCAAAAAAATACTCACTTCAGAAAAGTATAAATATTTTAATACTAAATTTATTGAGACATAATGAGATTTTAATACAAGTTACTTTTGGCTTCTACAATTACAGGAGCTAAAAAGTAGCCTGAATCTACCTCTCCCAGTTGGCACTAGGAGACTTTATAGAGGAGAGAAGTTGCTTCATGATCGGATGGTACATCAAATGTTTCTTTGTGGAAGTTTTGACTAGATGAACTGGTTGCTTTTGCTCATGTCAGTTTTTGAAAAGTTGGTTTGAAATCATAAGACTTCTTAGTGAAAGGCCTAAAGGTTTTCCTGGAAGGTAGTTGAAGAACTTTGTTATTTAAGGAATTAAGTCCAGGCCAGGCTTAGCCCACTTTCGTCCCTCCCTTGTCTTTGTTCATTGATCAGTCCTGAAGGATGAGGACAACAATCACTCTGAGTACTTCTTGCTGAGGCAGCTTATAGTTAGGGTCCAAGTTTTGGGCTAAAGAATGAGCCTATTGAGTAGGGGAAGAGTCATTAAGGGAAGGCTATCATTGTGTCTAGGCATAGATTAAGGATGACTTTAAACGAAGTCAGATATTCAACCTTAGAAAAACAATGGTTATATACTGTTGGGCAGAAGCCGAAAATGAATCTAGCCTGGCATGATGCCAGCTGAAGATTCTGCGAACAAGAAGGGAGACCACTAAAAATGTCAGGGAAAGGGACCTCTGTTAGTGGCTTATGCTAGTTTTAACATTTTGGATACTTCTACCTGTGGAGATGTATCAGTATCTTTGCAACAGCTAGTATTTAGTATAGACTTTCCCTTGTAAGGCCATAAGAAAGCTAGGGCAAATCTATTTTCCAAGGAACCCAAGTTAGAGATTCTACTCTAGCTCTAGTGCATTGTATCTTTTCAGGAAAGATGTGTGTAGAAGCATAATCCTCCTTTTTCATTTTCCTTCAAAAGTAACTTAGGACCAATTAATGATTCACAGGAATATAGACAATGAGAGCTCTTGCTGGTTCTAGTGATCATCCAATGTGAGTGATCATATTTATCCAGGTTTTGTTTTTCCTGAAGAACTGAAAGTGGTATATGTGTCACATATTGACTGCTTTCCCTTGTTAGCAAGTAACTGAGATCAAAAACTTTTTCAAGGTAAAAATGAAGAGGATCCCATCAGATACGCTGTATAATAATCTTTGGCCAAGTAATTAGTAAAAGTGACATTGCTCCAAGGTTGTTGCTAGAGAAACGTCCTTGCAAAAGTACTTTCTGAAAGACATTGTGGTGGCCTCTGTGAAAATTTGTAGTCTGGTAGTCATTTGTGATGGTTATAATCAGACAATCGTGTATAAGAATCCTCTCTTCATAACCCTCTACCTTCATTTACTGTTAGGTAAGGTTTACATAAGTGATTCCATCTTGAGTCTCACAGCTTTCACATTTCTTTTACATTTCTTCCTTTTGTGCTCTGGAAACATTACTGATCAACTAAATGGTTAGGTTTTTATCATCCCTTCTTATATGAATGATCTGCCCAAGACGTTGATTTGACTTGGTCCCATATTGGAAGGGACCAAGAACATTTTAAGAACAGACACTGAAAATTTTGAAACTTTTTTTGAAACTTTTTAGCCATTTTTGAGCAATAAAGAGGTTTAGAAGCAGTTGTCAAGTGAATCTCACCAGGAGTCCATTGCTAAGTTCCATTCTATTGAGGGGAGTCCACAGTATCGCAATGGAGGCAGCTGAATCTTCCAAATTTACATCATATCCAGTGGCCACTGGAGGTCAGTATCAATTTCACCCTGCCCAGGTGCCACAGAGCCTCAAACTGGCAGCTGAAAGACTGAAAGTCTCATCTTGGTTCCCAGAAATTATTACAGAGCAGGCGTTTCCTTCCCAACACACATGGAATCCAGTAGCATGTTACCAGGTTACTACATGGTCAACTAGCCAAGGCCAGAACCTCAAATCCAGCTCAAACCTGCCTCCTCAATAAGCTGACAGCATGAAATTTACAAGAGGAGAATGCAGAAGTTGCTTTTTGATTGGATGCATTCTTCCTTACAGGGCATACATTACTTTGGGGCTGGACAAGAATTCTCTTCTGTACAGTGGATTTTAGCCTATGATATCATTAACTAGATGATCTGATCTCTTCTACTTGTTCTTAAAAAACTGTTTCCAAACCACAAGAATTCATTAATGAAAGGCCTGTAGGCTTTACCTGGAAGACAATTTAAGGACTTTGTTATTTAAGGAATTAGTTTCTAGGTATGTCCAGACCTTACCTAATCTCATTTGCAATAGACTAAAATTTGTCTTTGAAGGGAATTACTGATTAAAAGTGTATATATATATATATACAAATTCTAAGATGTTGCTTTCGAGAAACAATTTGGAGATGCACTGAAGTCAATACACATAAGTAATTCTGCCATTGAAAGTCCAGGTTTGCCTTCTATCTGTCTTTGTCACAAACAACCTGAATCTATTTGGTTAATCTTCCTCATCTATAGATAGAAATATTCTGGGCCCCCATACCTCATTTTGTAATTTTGTGATGTTGGGCTTACTATTGTCAGAATGTTACTGGGTCAGTAAATTTACATCAGAAAGTTCTCTGAAGAAAACTAGGAAAACAGTCAAACCAAATAATTAAGTGATTGTGACTTCTGAAATCCAGGTGTGTATATTGATGAAGACCATTAAAATATTGTCTTACTCGTCCTTTTATTTTTTCCTCAAAAGTTCATAAAGTCATTTCATTTATACACCTTCATCTCAAAGAAAGCCCAAACAAGAATAGGAATAGAGAATAATTCATTTACATGTGTCTTGTCTTACACTCAAGTGAATGTTGAAGTCATATCCAAGCACCTTTCATTTTCTCTGTTTCACTGCATAAGAGGCTTTCATGAGAAAATTGTCACTATTTCCAAAAGTGTTATGTATTCTAACATTAGAGGAGCTCTCTAGGGATGGCACCTTTCCCCAGAAGCACTGTTTTACAAACACCAGTGTTTTTCAAAGTAACTCACTTCTCTTGTTCTTTCAACTTGATTTTCTCAGCCAAAAAAGCAAGAGGAAGAAGAAGGTACAACAGATACCGCGACATCCTCCTCCAACAACCATGAAAAAGACAGCGGGGTAGGGCGCACAGACGAAAGCTTGCGAAACGAGGAGAGCTCAGAGCAGGAGAACGCAGCCGAGGACCCCAGCGGCACATCTTTGAAGAGCAAGCGAGAGCTGGGACACAGCCAGGATACCCTGGGAAGCGTTGAGCTTCAGTGCAATGAGAGCTTCGTGTCTGGTGAGTACATTGACTCGGACTGCGTCGGCAACCACGACGAGGAGTGTGAACGGTTCCGGCAGCTCTTAGAGCTCAAGTGCAAAATCCGCAGCCGTGGAGAGTATGACCTGTATTACGCCAGCAGCACGATTGAATGCAACCAAGGGGAGCAGGAGGGCGTAGAGCATGAGCTACAGCTGCTAAATGAAGAGCTGAGAAACATTGAGCTGGAATGCCAGAATATCATGCAGGCTCACAGGCTCCAGAAAGTGACAGACCAATATGAGGACATCTGGGCTTTGCATGATAGAGGATTCCGAAATTATAACACCAGCCTAGACATGCAGAGGGGTAAATTAGACGACATTATGGAACATCCAGAGAAGTCAGACAAGGACAGTTCTAGCGCTTACAACACAGCGGAAAGCTGCAGAAGTACCCCACTCACTGTGGACCGTTCCCCGGATAGTTCCCTGCCCCGAATGATCAACCTCACCAATAAGAAAAACCTGCGAAGCACCATGGCCACCCATCAGTCCTCCGGACAGAGTAGCAAAGAGTCAACATCCACCCGAGCCAAGGCCACGGAACAGGGGTGCAGCACGGAAAGCCAGGAGCAGCTTTTGGAAACCAGCAAGTTTGCCAACCCGGAGAAGACAGTCTGTGAGCCAGTCCCTTACCTCTCGCCCTACCACAGCTCGTCCTACAGGTGCGCCAACATCCCAGCCCACGCCAGGCATTACCAGAGCTACATGCAGTTAATTCAGCAGAAGTCGGCCGTGGAGTATGCCCAGAGCCAGCTCAGTTTGGTGAGCATGTGCAAGGACCCTCAGAAGGTGTCCGAGCCCAAGATGGAGTGGAAGGTGAAAATCAGGAGCGATGGGACCCGCTACATCACCAAGAGGCCGGTGCGAGACCGGATTCTGAAGGAACGTGCCTTAAAGATCAAGGAGGAGCGCAGCGGCATGACCACGGATGACGACACCATGAGCGAGATGAAGATGGGGCGCTACTGGAGCAAAGAGGAGCGCAAGCAGCACCTGGTGCGCGCCAAGGAGCAGCGCCGGCGGCGCGAGTTCATGCTGCGCAGCCGGCTGGAGTGTCTGCGGGAGGCGCCGCAGAGCGGCAGCGAGGCCCGCAAGGAGCTCAGCATCCTGGAGCTGAGCCACAAGAAGATGATGAAAAGGAGGAACAAGAAGATCCTGGACAACTGGATGACAATCCAAGAACTGATGACCCACGGGGCCAAGTCTCCGGATGGCACGAGGGTGCACAGTGCCTTCCTGTCCGTCACCACGGTATGACCCCATGGACCCCGGAGAGTGACTTCAAGAGGGTGCTACCAGTTTGGGTAGAGTATGATTGCCTCGTTCAATGTGGCGTTTTTATATGCATTTTGTGACTCTTTATAGTTTAAATTTTTGTAAGCAAAAAAAATAATAATAATAACCTGGTAATTTTTCATTTGGTGTTTCATATACTGGTACCTTCGTTTTTGGCTGAGGTTTTTCCTTAACTTGCGATATATTCATATTACTCATTTATAAAAAACAAAATAAAACAAAAAACAAAGGGAAGGAAAACAAAAAAAAACTTGCACAAAATACTGAGGCTGTAATTAAGTTCCTATTTTAATGTATCTATTGTAAGTTAAAATCTGGATTTATTTCTCTAGTTTGCTTATTTTCTACTGCAATAACAACTCAGTGCCAAAACACTTCTATGCTTGCTTCTTGGCATAATACATGTTAAACCGGTTAATAAAGCATAGGCTACATCTTGTCTTATTCACACCCCCCAAAAGAAACCCTTTTTAACATTCTTTTGTACATTTACCACGTAAGTGGCCCCTTGTCTGTGTCTCTGTAAAGTGTAGGTGGACAATCTGCCTGTGATATGTAGTGACCTTGGTCATGTAGCTAGATAACTGTGGTAATTGTGACAATAAAAGAGAAATAAATTATTAATTATCCTTAAGAAGTCATTAAGGAGTGTTTTATTTTCATTGTCCACTGTGGTTAACAGATATAAATTAGTTATATGTGTATACTGTTTAAAGACTCCTAATTGTAGATTATACACTGCACATTTTCTATAGCTTTTTTCAATAAAGTCTTGAAATACTTCCTTCCTCTGGATCATTGTGTCACATATTGCTCCAGGGTACATCGCACACCATGTATGCCCCGTCTCACAGATGCTAGCTAAACATTCGACGTGCTCCCCTTGCCTGCCACCTGTGGAAGGTAAGGCCAAGAAAAACTTAGGAAAAGATGGAGCATAAAAGCGTTCACAAAGTGTCGGAGATTACTAATAAGAGTAGGATGTATTTTGTTTGCTTGGTCTGTTATAATAAAGGCTACCGTATGGGGCCGAAATAACAGGAATTTATTTCTCACAGTTCTAGAGTCTGAAACATTCAAGATCAAATACACTAGAGGTTAGAATTTCAACATACAGATTCAAGGGGGGCACAATTCAACCCACTGAACTGACTGCCTTTATTGAGTTGATTATTTAGGAATAAAATGTAAAGAACCAGCTTTGCAAGAATTTGTAGCATAGTCAACTAAAAATGCCTCATATGTCAGTTTATTAAACTCCATCATAATGCCTGCAGAGGAAAAGGCTATATGATCCACATGCATGCAGACATTAGTTTCATCAAGTTTTCATTCAAGCCAACAGGCTGTTTTGACATCATGATTACGAAGTATCTGACTGCTTCAGGAGTTACTGTGCTGTATGAAATCCTTAGTGACTCCCTACCAGCTCTTGAATCAGGCTGTGATGCCTCAGCATTAGGGTCAAGGCCATCATCAAACTTCTCACCTGTCTTCTGCTCCTCCTCAGATCTTCTCTGAGCTATTCTTGGCTGTTTAATGTCTGATCGTTTCCCTGAAGTTATCAGAAGTTATTCTCCTTTATTACAAATCCTATGCCTCCCGTAGTGTGTAACCACACATAAATTTTCTTTAGGAGTATGTTTTGATATCAGACTTTCTCTGTTCTTTGGAATACACTGTTGTGCATATTGTTTTGTCTGCAGCATTTTCCTCTTTAGTTACAGAATCATACAAATAGAATTTATTGTCTCTGCATAAATTTTAAATTTGTGGAAAGAGGCCCTTATATCCCTGTCTTTGTAATCTCATGGTAAAATACCATTCAAATAATAGTCAGTATAAATTAGGCTAAATTATTTTACTCATATTTCTCTTCCCCATCCGGGTCCATGTTGCTCTTTTCCTTATTCTTCTTCCAAATTTCTACCTTTTGAAGGGCAATCACAGAGGAAAACAAACTAATCCTATTTACATAAAATAAAAATCAGGACTGTAGTTTTAAAATAGTGGTACTAATAACAAACCAAGGCAAAAATTTCATCATTTCTAATTGTAGCCACTATCAGTTCAATGAGTAAGACTACTTCAAGTGCACCCAGAGTTAACTTTTAATCTCATAGTTTTAAATGAAAATGCCTGTCTACCTTAAGGGTGTGTTTCTTTCCATACCTAGCACCTGTGGTTACTGCTTGAGCTCTGTACACACACCTTGTACCAATGTGTGGATTTTCTGGAAGAAACAAAATACAGCATTTCCAAAGTAATCAGTTTGGTTTTATTTTTACTAAGGCCAAATATGCTTGCCAATTTTTTAAAAAAGTGTGTTGTTGGTGTTTTTCCTGTCTGTTTATATACTTCAAGTTGAGAAATGTCTCTTTTTCAAAAATCAGTGAAAATTTGAAGTGTTATGCTTTATCTTTCTACATAACCTCCTTTGTACTATACATGTTTTTTAAAGTAAATTAATAAATCTGTTGCTCAGCAAAAAGACAAATTATTGGTTCTTGTGGCTATTCTGTGACTGCTAATTTCCAGTGTCTTCTCATGATCACTTGCACAGAGCACAGCTATTCAACAGTGACTTTGGTTTTTGTTCATAGAGGGGTTCCTGAAAGCTGGGTGGCTCTACATAGGCCTCTTGAAATCCACAACATACCCCTGGGTCCCAGTGGACGTGTCTGAAGAACACAAGGTCACATATTTCTGGATCTAGGGTTTTTTTTTCCTACAAGAAATGAATTGGTTAAAAATCTGTTGCAATATGTACCTTTACTGACTGAAAATTAATAAACATTTAATAATTACATATTTATATCATTGGTAACTAGTCGACATAATGAATATAAGTAGGAAATATGCTAGAATATATAATCAAATTTTACTTAAAATTGAAAGAATATTAGTTTAAAGAAACATCAAAGTAATCATCTACCCAAGGTTTTGGCTTCTCAAGTTTCATTTGGAAGTCTTTCATGAAGAGATAAGGTAGAATGACTGGTGTTTTTGGTTAAACAGTGGAAACCCTGTTTTTATCCCAAATTCAGGAAAAGACGCAAATAGATGTTTGAGTACAATGAGCAAAGTGATGTTAAGGAAAGCAGGTGTCGCTACCTGTTTAGGATAGGCAGAAAGGGAGCAGCAGGAGCCCAGGAACTGACCTTTTGGAGTAGCAAGGTGAGGCAGGAGGCAGTAACAGTGCAGAATCTGTATGATATAAAAGCATTGGTAACAACCTGATGTATTTTGAAGTGCTTTATGAGTGGAACTTTGCCTACTGACGGCAGTGACCTGACCCATTGGTTCGCTGGATAGCCTCTACCTTGTGTGACTGATAGGTGAGCATCACAGATGGGGTGTCAAGATTCTTACCATGGCCTCTTCCTGTGAAGAACTTGGTCCCACAGCACTGTCCAATCAGAGCACTGATCAGACCCATCATCACTACTGGTGTTATCAGTACCAGAGACCTTTATAAGCAACAGGGCTAGCAGCAACTTTGATGGGGGAATCCCCCGGCCTCCTAGGGAGCCTGACTTCCATTGTAGGAGCAGCCACTTGATGGACATCACATGTACTATGCTGTCTGCCACCACACCTGCCTGATCTGCTACAGTGTCCCACTCTTATGTGGCTTCCAGAGACCGTGGCTCCCTGTGACCCAGACATTGATATGTACTATGCTCAAAGATTATAGATGTACCAGATCTATCAAATGGGCAAAGCTTTCACACTATACAAAATCAACTCAAAAGCAAGAACTGACAAACTAGATTGCACCAAAAGAAAGTAATCAAAAGAGTAAAAAGACAGCCTTTGGGACATGAGAAAAAAATTGCCAGCTATTTATCTTATAGGAAGTATCCAGAATATGAAAAAATTTTTTTAAAAACCCAAGTAATCCAATTAAAATTTGACAACTAATCTAAATAGATATTTCCCAATAAGAAATTCAAATGAAAGTGCTCATTGTCCTAGCTTTTGTAAAGGAAAAACCACAAGATACTATCTCATCATTTTGGCTAGTATCAAAAAAAAAATGTAAGAAATGGTTGGAAGAATGTAGAGAGAAAAAAACTTTTGTATACTGTTTGTAGAAGGCTAATTCATATAGCCACTGTGGAGAACACTATGAAGTTCCTCAAAAACTAAACATAGATCTATCACATGATCTAGCATGGGCATATAACAAAAGAAGTAAAATCAGCATACAAAAGAGATATCTTCAAGATATAAAAATCAGTCCAGGTGTCCATCAACATATGAATAGATAAAATACAGCAGGCAATACATAATTGAGTAGTGTTCATCCGTACAGAAGAATAAATTCCTGTCCTCCAAAGGAAAATTAATGGAACTGAAGAACTAATGGAATGTTAAGGGAAATAAGCCAGACATGGAAAGGTAAGTATGTCCTATCCTGTGTGGAAACTGGGGGGGAAAAGTCAACCTGGAAGTAGGAGAGTGATTACGAGAGAGAAGGGCGGATGGAGTTGGAGAGGTGAAGGATGGAAGGATGGAGGTCGGGGATATGATCAACACAAACCGGGTGCATGTATGGAAATACCACACTGGATCCCGTGAATATGGACAGGTAACATGCTAATTTAATAGTTGAAAACCTTTTTATGGAAAAGTATTTCCTCTTTATTGATATTTGTATTCTCTCTTCAGCCTTTTTTCATTATTTTCTGAACCACGTGTCTTTAGAGGTAGTCCAAACTCCTTTAATGATCTTTTAAGGAAGTAAACATTTTAATAAAGTACTTGCTCCTATAAATATGCATGATACAGTTTCAGGGCTTCTGTGAACAGAACTGCAGTAACAAAAAACTGGCCAAGAGGTCATGCCTTAAGAAAAGCTTCTAAGACTATAGGGCTGGCCATTAAAATGTGCTACTCTGTTCAACAAGGCAGGATCAGTTCATACTGTAACACCGCCATACCCAAAATTTGGGCACCAGGGAATGGCTTCAGAGAGACAATTTTTCCACTGCACTTTGAAAGGTGGTTCTGGGAAGATTCAAGCACATTACATTTATTGTGCACATTATTTCAATTATTCTATTGTGTACTTTATTTCTATTAGTCCATTAGATTCTCATAAGGAGTACGCAACCTACCTGCGTCACATGTGCAGTTCACAATAGGCTTCATGCTCCTATGAGAATCTAATGCAGCTGCTGACTTGACAGGACGTGGAGCTCAGACAATAATTTCCGCAGTAGAGAGCAACTGTAAGTATGAATGGTGTTTCCCTTACTTGCTCATTCGCCACTGCTCACTTCCTGCCAGATGGCCTTGTGAAGAAGAGGGAGAAACCCAGCTGTACCAGATTTATTAGAAGTAGCTAATAACAGCACAAGGAAATAAGCACCACATTGCTGACTGTGTGGGTATCGTTTGTGCTATGTCTGGTGTCCCCCATATCTCTGGCTCTAGTTGGGCCAGATCCCTACAGTTTTACAGCAGTGCTCCTTGTCCTCATACTTGGCTTGCTAGGTAACCCTTCCCCTTTATCTATGCCCATCCCTCCATCAAAGTTCATTTTCTATCTTTCTCTCTCTAAATTTTTCCCTCTTACTAACAATCACTCTGAAGAGTCACAAGTGGTGCTTGATCATCACTATTTGGCTTTCTAATCAACAGTGTCTAATGTAGCTTTCCATCATGTGTCTATCATCGCATAGTGTGGTTCAAAAGTTAGGAGCCACTGCCCAATCTGCCCTTCTGGCATTTCTTCTATTTTACCAAATTGACAGCTGCACAGGACTTGGGATGCTATGCATTTTGTCACATATCCCAGCCAACACTGCTGGCTCAGCAAACACTCTCCTGGGTTCATGGATCATCAATAAAGAGGGTCCTGTTCTTCAGAATCCTATTACATGTTTATAACTTAATAACGTCTACTGCTTACTTTTTTCCTCCTAGATCTGCCACTTAAAAGACTTATAACATTAGGCAAGTTATGGAGGATTGCCGCTGCTCTGTACAATGGAGAAATTTATAGCCTTATTCATAGGTTAAAAATTAAATGAGTTGATACATACACAGAAATGAGATCAGTGTTCACACAGAGTAGACACTACCAGAATAGCTATTATTTTTATTTATACATTAGTAAACTATGGTTAATATAATTCCAGTTGGACTGGAGATTTAGCTCAGTGGTATAAGTACCTGCCTGGCAAGCGCAAGGTCGTGAGTTCAATCCCCAGTACCAATGTATATATTTCCAGTTATCTGCCATAACAGCACAGTTGTTAAGCAATGAATTTTGGTTTCAAACTCATGATGGTCTGACCTCAAAATTCTTTTTTTTTTTTTTTTTTTTTTTTTTGCTGTTACCATTTCTACACTGGTTAATAATGAACATCACTGACTTCTCAGTATGGTCCCATGAGGTCTGCTTCATCCAGGCACTGACATCATTTTTTTTTCAGTCATCAAACATGTGCTGATTTTCATTGGGTTCTACTTTGTGAGTTGGTCTAGTCTTTGAATCGTTTGTTGCTTGTGATGAGGAATTATGGAGGAGATTTTAATCCATGATTTAGCCTATGACAGATTCTCTAGATCTAAGCAGTATGTCTGGTCCTCCCACTGCATTCTGCCTCAAATTTATTTTTGTCACTTTCCATTGGGTTGCCTGCCACACCCTTTTTCAGGAAGGTGACTTTGTTGTAAAGAACCTCTTTGATATCCATTTGCAATTTCTCAGGGACCCTTAAAGCCTGGTGTTTTTATAATGTTGTATATTTAATCCCCAAGTGTGTTTGAATAAGAAATTTAATAAAACAAGGCATTTATTCAATTTCACTTCCCTGGTTGTGATGGAAATAGATTAAATGGATTGCAGCTGTTCAGTGTATCTTGGAATATTTGTGAAACACTCCAGAAAACAAAGCTTTCTTGAATGTGTTGAGAAACCAGTTCTCCCCTGGTGTTCCCATTAAGTTAGGGTCAGTGAGTAGCTGTCTATTTGTGCCCATTCAACTCAGTCTGACTTTATTTTTGAAACAGAACACTAATAAGAAAATCAATAGGTATAGAAAGTACTATGAAAATGCACAAAGAAATAGAAACAGTACAAAACAGTAAAGAGAAGAAAATGTGCTTTGAGAGTCTGAAACATTCATAAACTTGTGATGGGCAGAGGAACAAGAGTGGGTGAAAATAAATCCAGCTGTTTAAAACGGGAAGGAGGGGAGAGAAGGTATACAGTGTTGAGTGACAGAGCAGTGCAGGCCCGGGAGGGTTCAGAAGAGCGAGGACTCCGTAGGGGCCGCCGCCATTTCTGAGAAGCCTTCTCTGGCTTCCTTACCTTCACGTTGACTGACCCATAGGACCAGTCTGATTCCAAGCAAGTTACAGACGTTTTGGGGGCCTCTGTTTTCTCATCTATAAAATGAGGGTATCCAAATAAATGACCTTCACATCCCATTTCATTTCTAACATTCTAAAAATTCACAGTAAATATTTTAATCCAAAATT